TTACAAATAAAGTCCAGTTGTTTTTGTATTGAACACTTTTTGAATTCATCATGTCCTGGATGACTGAGAATCTTCACCAGCATTTTGATGACTGTGCTTGACAGAAAATGCTGGATTATCTAAGAGAGAAGCGTGATGTTGGCTTTTTTCAGAGCATGGCAGGACTCATGCAGTCATGTAGGTGAGTGATGATAGACAAGAAAAGTCCTGTTTAATATCACAATGGGGAGCAGGCTTTTGATATCGATTGGATGAAAATGTTCAGAGTAAAACGTCTTTGTGTGCAATTTTGTTCTGTTTTTTAGTGTGCTGGATCTGAATGCATTTGAGAGGCAGAACAAAGCAGAAGGATTAGGCATGGTCACGGTTGAGGGCTCAGGTACACTATTCAGAGAGAAATTTAAAAAATCCATGACTGTTTCTGTGTCAAAGCAGGGAACTAGCTACAAGATCCCTGATTCAGTCTTTTTTCGTAAATATTTCTTATCTTTCACAACATCTGTTACTCTGTACTCTGTCAACTTCATTTTTTGTTTTTTCTTCCTGCAATCTCTACCATAACATTGTTTATTCTTGTACCTTATATGGAGTATGACATTAATTCTTTCACGTTTTCTTTCCTTGCCCTCATCTGTCCATTTTCCAAGAAGAAAAGGTGATGCCCGACAAAGACCTAACTTGTGATCTGTTTCGTTTCCTGCAGCTGCTCTGTGAGGGACATAACTCAGGTAATTTATCTGTAGTCTTTTTACTGATGCATTGTTGTACTACTCGTAAAAATATAAAGATGGAGACAAAAAAATCGTAAAAAGCATCTCATTCTTACAGTTAAATGTTGGACAAAATAAGAATGAAGAAGCATTACTGTCCATAAAAGTTCCTGTTACCTCTCTCTCCTTTTTTTTAAGATTTCCAGAATTATTTAAGAACACAAACAGGGAACAACACCACTGTAAACATCATTATACCAACTGTGGACTTTCTACTAAGGGTACAGGTACGTCTGCTGTAACGAGGTTTCTGGACATTCTGCAAATGGTTCAGTCCACTGGAGATGTTTCTAATAATCTGGAACAAAACGTATTTGATGAGCCATGACATCTTGATCAACAACAACAACAACAACAACAACAACAACAACAACAACAACAACAACAACAACAACAACAACAACAACAACAACAACTAGTAGTAGTAGTAGTAGTTCTTAGTTTACATCTTAGATCCTTATTACTGGTTTCTTTTACAACTTATATTCTACCTGTTGTTGGATTTAACAGGGATCCTGTGTACACAAATTTGTTCCACCTCATGCACCACATACGATGCGAATGACAATAAAGAACCTTAAATCTTTAATTATCACAGTATGAAGCTATGTGGTTTATATAAGTTTATTTGTACTAATAACACTCAAACATTGTTTTGTGCAACATGACAGGAGTCCATCAGTGACTTCTACTGGTACTACTCGGGAAAGGATGTGATTGATCCACTTGGTCAACGCAACTTCTCCAAGGCCACTGAAGTAGCCAAGCAGGTCTTCAACACACTTACAGAGTACATCCAGGTCAGTCAGTCTGCATTAGGGATCTGTGTTAAAATGTTATTTTTCTATACATGTTTTTTGTTGGTTTATGGGATAACTGTCTGTAGAAACATTTGCTACAGTTTAAGACATTGAAATGAACATGTGTTTAGTTTGATCTTAAGCCTAGTGTGCAGACAAAGACTCCAAAACAGGCTTGAAGGTAAAAATAAAAAAATCTAATTAATTAATATAAATCAAAAATAAAAGGCTGACGTGGCAGCAAAATACCCACAATGGAAAATCTCAGGAAGGACACGAAAGAAACAGACATGAACAGCCTTTAAAGCAAAATGCACAGTCAACAAATGAGAAAAAAAATGGTACAAGCTTTAAAGGGAAACTAATTAGGGAGAAATGAAAACACCTGTGGAGAGACTATAAGGATCAGGTGAGAGTGGGAGGGGCAGGAGAAAAGAACTAACTGAGGGGAAAAACACTGGGGATGCTGAAACACAAAACAAAATACCAGAAAAACTAGAAAAATAAGACAAATCATGACAGGAATTGATTTTTTCAATATTAATAGCTTTTAATAATAAGTTAGAATCAGAATCAGCCTTTATTGTCATTGCACAGAAGCACAACAGAATTACATTTCAGTACAGCCATCCATAGAAAACATGGGTAGACGGAGATGCCTGAGGCTGCAGCCTCGTGTGAACTGCTGCCCTTATCGTTTAGATAAGTAAAAGGGAAAATGAGGAAAGAGGAGGTATAAAAATAAAATCATATCTCACACTGTGTGAGGTTACAAAAAAACCTCCGCACAAGAAAAAGCAACATACAAGTGACATAAAGACATGCATGTGAAAAGGTTCACAGAACAAAGCAGAGCAGGGAAGGAGCAAGAGGGAAAAGTGTCCATCTTTGTCGAGAGCAAGAAGGAAAAATTTTACATGCTGCAGAATAAATTTGAGACTGATCTGACTTCTTTCTGATGGTGGCTTGTGATGAATTAGAATGTATGTTTTAAAATGTCAAAAGATTGTCCTCTATTCTCTGTAGTTTTTACTCTTTAAATTTGACAGTAGGGTCTGTTCTAGAGCTGCTTACATTATTACCATGTGTTCATCCAGGGCCCATGTACCGGGAATCAACAAAGTCTGGCTCACAGCCGTCTTTGGGACGCTGTTGTGGGATTCCTCCATGTCTTTGCTCAGATGCAGATGAAACTCTCTCGGGTACAGTACAGTGATCCGGTTCAATTTTAGTTATTTTCCTCTTAAACACACCCCATATAGAATTGATCTTGCTTTTGTTTGCAGATCACTCTTCAGTTTCTGTCCAATTTGTTCTCATTTGTTTGGCGGTAATGTTACAGATAAGACTCGCGTCTAGTAATGTTCCAGCTGTTTCCCATGTATGACATAAAATAAAATATAAAATGTGAAGATGTATTTATGTTCTTAATGCAGGATTCCAAGCAAATCAAACTTCTGAAAGAGCTCATGGACTTACAGAAGGACATGGTTGTGTTCCTGCTCTCCATGTTAGAAGGTAAACTTGTCAGATCTTCACAGTTTATATATTA